ACCGCCGTGCGCACTGGACCGCACTCCCTCTCGGGCCGTGTCGGTGCCCGGGCTCGGGAACGTAAGAAATCTCCCGCGCCGCTCCTGCTCCCACAGGACAGCCCGAGAGCCGTCTGACTGCAGCCCGGAGGGGCGGGCGCATTTTGGGAATCTGGCAGGAAATGTTTCCATCAGTTACAGATGTGCTCCCTTTAGAAACAGGGTGTAAGGACCTCGCGTGGGTCGCTCTGCGGACATGGGGAGAGCGAGTGTAGGATCCTCGGGGCCGGGACGTTCCCTTCGGCGCCTGGTGGGGCTACGCGGAGGGAAGGATGTTGGACGCCCGTCCTCTCCGCCTCGCCTTCCCTCCGCGTCTCCGCCGACGCCCGTCCCGTCCCGTCAGCTCGTGGTTTTCTGCTCACGCCTGTTCCCTGGCCCAGTTGAACCTACAGAGGCTAGTGACAAGTCCTTAGGTCGTATTTTTCTTTTGTCTTTTTTTTTCTCCTGTAGTTCTAGGTAAATCCATTAGGCTGCTTATTTGCCTTGTTTTTATGAATGAGTGCAAGTCGCTATCCAGCTTTTGTTCCTGTCTCATTGTTCATGTTTTAAATTGGGTGGGGTGGACCCCATAACCCTCCCACCCCCTGTCTGAATTGTGAAATACACAATAAGCTGTAGTTCAGCTCATTCGCGCGGCTGTCTCTCCTCTCCCGGGGACTGAATGACAGCCTTCCTTTTCCCATGTCTCACCCCTGGTGGCTGCTTCCCCTGTGTCTCCCTAGTGGACACAATTTCGGGATTGTCTGGCCGCCACCGAGCCTTTGCTGTCAGTAGCTGATGGGTGTAGAGAACTGAAAAACACGTGAAAGGAAAAGAATATAAGTAAAGAGGGTTCACACTGGGCAGGTCACGCAGAAATGCCTGTGGTATCCACTGTTGTTTTAGCATCGATAATGGGAGTATTCATTGAATGCACGTTTTAAGTGCTTGACATGTTATCTCACTGAATCCTCCAAACAGTCTTTTAAATTTGGTTGGTGATACTATCATCTCCATTTTATAAATGAAGAAACTGAGGCCCGGGGAGGTTAGGTAAGGTCAGGTCGCACAGCTGTAAGTGGTAGAGCCAAAATTCAACTCAGCCGGTTGTACAGTAAGTTAATAGTGCTGACTTGATTGTAAAATGTCAATTCCTAGTACATTGTTACTCGGTTTTTAAAAAATACTAACTCCAAAGAGTCTTATTAGACCAATAAATTAGATTGATTTCTAATTTAAAACTATTGTATCCGTGCTGCCAAAACATGTTTTTCCACTTACATAAAAATCTTACATTTGAAAACTGTTAATTTATTTTATTTGGAAGATTATTCACATTGTTTTTATTTTAAAGTTGAACATGTAAAGCAAAGTGGCAAAACTTGGTCATGAAGAATCCAACCGTAGTTACATTAAGATGTTTAAAAGCTACTAGTATTAATGTAAGTGTAATTGTTGCTATTTTAAAAATACCAGAGTTCTTTTTCTTACATACTTGAATATAATCACTGAAAATATATATATATTTCAGAGACAGAGCAGAATGGGCTGATATAGAGCCAGTGCCACAGAACGATGGCCCCAATCCAGTGGTCCAGATCATTTATAGTGAAAAATGTAAGTTTATTTTTATTAGGAAAAGGTCTGTAAGTCAAACTTAGTAGCAGAGTTGAAATTCACAACTATATGGCTAGGTAAATGATAGATTTTTGTCTGACAAAGATCTAAATGACTATGATAAGCTAATTTTGTGTTTTTTATAATTTATTTACATGACTAAGTGTTTTATTTTGTCCAAAGAGTGGACATATTCTAAGTATAAGTAATGAATGTTGTTACATTATTTCTTGTGTTTTTTTGTTATCCTCACCCAAAGATATTTTTTCAATTGATTTTTAGAGCATGTGGAAGGAAGTGAAGAGAAAGGGGGGGGGAGAGGAGAGAGAGAGAGAGAGAGAAATATCAATGTGAGAGAGATACATCAATTGATTGCCTCCTTCACAGGCCCCCACTTGGGTGGGGGATCAAACCTGCAACTCAGGTATGTGCCCTTGACCGGGAATCGAACCCGCCACCCTTGGGTGCACTGGCCGATGCTCTATCCGGCCAAGGCAGAATGTTATATTATAAGACATAATAGCTACTTTGTGATTGTATTTTTCATGTACAGTTGTTAATCTACAACATAAATGAGTTACTGTTTTATTTAGAATAAACTTTGGTTGCTGAAACATGAGCATTTTGAAATATATTTTAGCAATGAGTGTTAGGCTCAGTTGGAATACATTTACTGATACTAAAATGAATGGGTTATTTTCTTTGACACAATATCATTCTTTCATAGTGAATGTGAAAATGCTTTGTACATTGAAGGTCATGCAAATGTTAATTGTTAGTTGTTCTAGGGAAGTGAAATGAATAAAATGGAATGCTAGTTCTGTAGTTTTATGTATGTACATATATATATATATTTCTTTCAGTTAAGGCTTTGTTATCCAAGATCATTCCTCTGTTACAAAAGGCACTAATTGTTTCTTATTTATTTATTATGAAGTAATACCAAGATATGTTTGAAAAGAAGAATAATGGTGTAAGGGTTTGCCTTACAAAATATGAAAATGTATTACTAAAAATATGTGGAACTGGAACAGAAATAGATTAATAAGGAATCTAAAAATACATCATCAGTATAAATGAGAATTTAATATTTGCTAAAAAGGATATCTCATACCTGTATGAAAAAGATAGATTAATCAAATGTTTTTGTAACAGTTTGCTATGCATTTGGATATAAGCAAAATTATATCCCTATCTCATAGCTTACATGAAAATAAATTTCAGATGAATTAAAGTTCCAGAACAAAATTACAAACATACTAGGAGCAAATATTAGAGAGTAATCTTTCATTCGTGGAGTGAAGAAGGTATTAGTGAGCAAGTTATAAGACAGAATTGATTAAAGAAAAGATCAGAAGATAAAACTGTATAAAAAATAAAAAACTTTCACATGGTAAGATGTTATATGTGAAGATATAATACTAGAGGAAATAGAGAATATCTACAAAGAGATGTTAACCAAACTAGTGATCAGAGAAATGAAAAACCACAATTTTTTCATATTCATAAGGTACCTATAACAAAGATGTTGGAGAAAACTGATATAATCATATATGTCTCTTATTAAAAATAATAAGATGTTTTCTGCAAGATAAAAAAGTAAATCAACATTTTAAATTCTTACATATATTATGATTACAAACCACAAAGGAAAATATAATGAAATATGAATTATCGATCAAAAATTGATATATAAATATATCAAAATTTAAAATGTGTATAAGAACCCTAACCGGTTTGGCTCAGTGAATAGAGCGTCAGCCTGCAGACTGAAGGATCCCAGGTTCGATTCCGGTCAAGGGCATATACCTTGGTTGTGGGCACATCCCTAGTAGGGGGTGTGCAGGAGGCAGCTGATCGATGTTTCTCTCTCATCGATGTTTCTAACTCTATCACTCTCCATTCCTCTCTGTAAAAAAATCAAGGTCAAGGGCATATACCTTGGTTGTGGGCACATCCCTAGTAGGGGGTGTGCAGGAGGCAGCTGATCGATGTTTCTCTCTCATCGATGTTTCTAACTCTATCACTCTCCATTCCTCTCTGTAAAAGATTCAATAAAATATATATATTATAAATAAAATGTGTATAAGAAGACATGAATAAATAAATTGAAAGGCAAACAGCATTGTGGGAGAAGATACACCATATAAAACAGAGGATTGATAATTTAATAAATAAAATGTGTATAAGAAGACATGAATAAATTGAAAGGCAGACAGCATTGTGGAAGAAGATACACCATATAAAACAGAGGATTGATAATTTAGAACTTTGTAAGAAATTCCTACAAAAGGTTAAGGAAACAAACATTAAAAAATGGGCCAAGGGGGACCCTAGTGGGTTTGGTTCAGTGGTTAGGGCATCAGCCCAAAGAACTAGGAGACTTGGGTTCGATCCCTGGTCAAAGGCACGTACCTCGGTTGCAGGTTCACTTCCCAACCCCGGTCTGGGTGATGTCTCTCTCTTTCTCCCCTCTTACTTCCTCCCTTTCACTCTCTGTAAAAATTAATGGAAAAAATATTCTCAGGTGAGGATTTAAAAAAATGGACAAAGGGTATAAACTGATAGTTCACAGAAGAGAAAATTTCCTTGTCCATTAAGTAGAGGGGAAAAATTTATTGTCATTAAGAATGAGAGAGGTGCAAATTAAAATGGGGATGCTATTTCTACCCATGAATTGAATAGCAAAGATTAAACCTGTGATATCAGGTATTAGGACATATAAACAGATACATGTATTTCTGATGGTAGTTTTCATATTTTAGCCATTTTAGAAAGCAGTGTGGTATACCTAGTAAAACTGGAAAATGCCCATATCTTACAACCTTGAAGTGCTGCTTCTATAATACATTCTGGATTTGCTCTGGCATATGGCATCAGAAGACATACTAGGAGGTTATGAATGACTATCCAGATTTTATTACTACCTGGTTCCCATTCTAACTTCATTTTACTGTCACCGTGAACAAATTATTTAAATTTAACCTCTGTACCTCTATTCCCTCCTCTATATCCATGTTTTGGAGAATCCTATATAATAAAAGGCTAATATGCAAATCGCAGAATGACTGGTTGTTATGATGCACACTGCCACCAGGGGGCAGACACTCAACGCAGGAGCTGCCTCCTGGTGGTCAGGGTGCTCCCACAGGGGAGCACCGCTCAGCTGGAAGCCAGGCTCACAGCTGGCGAACTCAGTGGTGGTGGCGGGAGCCTCTCCCGCCTCTGCAGCAGTCGGACATCCCCTGAGGGCTCCCAGACTGTGAGAGGGCACAGGCCAGGTTGAGGGGCCCCCCCCCCCTCCGCTGCCAAGTGCACAAATTTCATGCACCGGGCCTCTAGTGGGTAAATAAAGTGTATTATTGTCATACAGTTTACTACTATATAACTATTAAGAGGATCTAGATCTGTTACAACATGGACAGATCTCAAAAACAATGTTCAGTGAAAAAAAACCACAAGTTTTAGAAACTTTGTGCTTGTGATACTAAAGTATTTTCAGGGTGGTATTCACACAATCATTTGACTTCTTTTGCTTATTGTTCTAAGTAATGCAGTAAAATACCTTTCTTTGTAAGATATAACAACATTTTATACTATAATGGTAGTTTTGAACAAGAAAGATAGTCCTAATGCAGTTTTGTACTATTTACAGTTAGAGATGTTTATGATTATTTCCGGGCCGTTCTGCAGCGTGATGAAAGAAGTGAGCGAGCTTTTACATTAACCAGAGATGCTATAGAGTTAAATGCAGCCAATTATACAGTGTGGTAGGTAATACATTATTAATATTTTCTGTTTAAATGTCTCATGTTTTAGTTTAGATGGCTTTTCTTCTTCTTAACTGAACTTTAACTTTTGTCAAAATAATAATTCATATATGAATTTAGAAGTCAGAGACTGAATGAAAAATAGCAACCTCTGCCCCATTCCTTCTCACTACCAATGTCCCACTCCTCAGAGGTAGCAACTCGAGCTGTTTTTTTCTTGAATTAAACTGTATATTCTAAATAATATGCTTAATTTTGTTTTCATTTATCTTTTCCTTCTGTGGAAGATACAGAATTCACTGTCCACTACACTTGTTTTATTTATAAGTAGCATTTTTGTGGTGGTTTTAAAAGTAGAATATGTGATAATGTTTGTAATGGAATTAATTTATTATATAAATAATTATCTAAATGAACTATTATATAAATAATTATCTAAATGAACAAGGTTACCATACAGGGAAAGAGATGTCTTTGATTCTTGTGTACTAGTAATACAACACAGGTAACCCCAGATTATTACCTAAAAATAATCATTAGTTGGTTGTCTTTTCTTGTATGTCACATTTTTTGCCTTTTGCTATTTTTACTTCAAAATGCTTAACTCTTATGGAGATTCTTCAGTAAATTAAAAGTAGAGCTGCCATATCATCCAGCAATTCTACTTTTGGGCATTTATCTGAAGAAAGCAAAAACACTAATTTGAAAAGATACATGCACATCTATGTTCCTTGCAGCATTACTAGTAACAGCCGAGAAATGGAAGCACCTAGATGTCCATCAATAGATGAATGGATAAAGATGTAGTGTACCGTATATACAGCAATGGGCAAAAGTAGACTTACAGTTGTGAGTATGCGAAAGTTTATTCTTGTATTATTGTATTATTTGTATTACAAATGTAAATCTACTTTTGCCACACCCTGTATGCATAGTGGAATATTATGCAGCAATAAAAAAGAATGAAATCTTGCCATTTGTGGCAACATGGATGGACATAGAGGGTATTATGCTAAGTGAAGTAAGTCAGACAGAGAAAGACAAATGCCATATGATTTTATGTATATGTGGAATCAAAAAGAAAACAAAATAATGAATAAATAAAACAGAAACAGACTCGTAGTTGTAGAGCACAAACTGATAGTTGCCCAAAGAGAGGGGTTGGGAGGATGAGAAGAAAAAAATTACTTTTAAATGCTTGATTCTCCCAATGACCAGATATATGTAGGAGTTTAGACCAAAAAAAAAAAAAAAAAAGTCTTATTCTGTTGTCTTGTAGCTTTATTTGATACTGTGAGGAGGCGATTTATGTGGAGTATGAGACTTTGAATGCTTGATGTTTGTTATAGGCATTTCCGGAGAGTTCTCTTAAAGTCGCTTCAAAAGGATCTCCATGAGGAAATGAGCTACATCACTGCAATAATTGAAGAACAGCCCAAAAACTATCAAGTTTGGTAAGATGAAAATAGGAGGGAGACATGTTACTATGCTGATAGTACCTGCCAATGGGTGATGCAAATATAGGGAATTGTTTGTTGCTTTATAATTTTAGTACTTTGCATTGGAGCTAATGTTACCTGCCTCACAGGGTTGTTAGGAGGATTAAATGAGACAATTTTTTTAGTGTTTAAAGTAGTGCCTAACCCGTGGTTAACACTAAAATGTTTGCTATTATTATTATTTAAAATAGCTAGCGTGTAATAGTGCTGGAGTCAGAAAAGAATTTGAGTTAAAAAATCTGAAATATTTTCTTTGTGTTAAAAAATGCCTTTTTGGTATTTGATCTTGTATTTTTTTAATTTAAAATATTTATACTGATGTTGGAGATACAAAGATGAACCAGATACAATCTAAAAGGAAAAGCAAATAATAAAACCAGTTATTTTACAGTGTAGTGTGAAAAACATAATGATAGTTTTTCACAGAGTATATTTGTTCTAAAAATTAAACCCCTACGTTTACACAAGAGTATAGATTAGTATTTGTGAGGGGAGCAGAATACAATGGGAAAAGAGAGGTAAATAATGGAGCAGCGGACAAAGAACGAGTTTGAACAGTACCCAGGATACAGTGAGTACTCCATGAATGAAAGCTGTTGTGGAGAAGGAGGAGGTAGTGCAGGTCATGTTGGTGAAGGAAGAGGAGGTGGTGTTGGTGGTGGTGATGGTGGTGATGGTAGTGAGCTGGAGGAGATGGTTGTGAAGCTAGTGAAGTAGCAGAAGCAACTGTCTCCACTTTCTATGCCACTCACTGCCTGCTCAAAATGCAGGAGTTACACCATTTTTTTTTTCAATATAATGATCGACACATGCCTATCTTTATGCCTGAGATTTAAGGTTGATTTCTGAGAGGAACAACCTCTGGGACAAAAAATATTCTGGGGAGACGCATGAAAGAGCACAATGCACTCAGGGAGTTGTATAACTCCATGTGATTAGAGTAAATGGGATAAGATCATAAAGACCCTTATGAACATTAGTAAGGAGTGTGGACTTGATCCTAGGCATTGGAGAGCTATTGCCAAATTTTAATTAAGGAAGTAATGCGGTTGGTTTTGTGTCTTGGAAGTTTTACCCTGACTATAGGGTGGAGCTTAGATGGAATAGGTTCTCAGCCCTGGTAGGCCGTTGCACTGGTATAGGCTAAGAGAGGGTGTGGAGCGGGTTTAGGGGAGAGAAAGATATATTCGAGAGAGGGTTTGCAGACAGAAGCAACAGGTTTGAAGTTTAATTTATTGGAGGAGTGATGAACAATGATGTCAATATATATATTTGGCTTGACCACTGGGTGAATGGTGGTGCCAACCACCGGGGAATTTGTAAGACAAAGCAGCACATTTCTGGGGAAGAGAGATGGATCCAGTATTGGACAAATGGGATTTGATGTGCCTATGGAAAAACCTATGTATTGTGGTCCAGCACATGGTTGAAAAATGCTCATCTGGAGTTGAGGTCATAGCTATGGATGAGGATGCTCAGGGAGAATTAGAGGAGAAGGCTGAGGATAGAACACCAGTGAACATCATTTAAGAAGCATTCCAGGATGACTGAGCAAGGAAACCAAAAGTTAGTGTCATCACAGAAACCAAGAGAAGAGAGAGTTTTAAGAAGAAAGGAGTGGATGACGGTTTCAAAACTGCTGACAGGTCAAGGAAAGTAAGGACTAAAAGATGACCAACGGGTTTGTTAATTAGGTGGGTATGAGTTAGTGATCTTGGCATGAGAGTCCTCCCACCTGGGTGGGGTGGTGACTGGATGGGCAGGAGGGAAGTGGTAGGAAGAGAAAAGAAGGCACATAGTGGGGCGAATCATAAATGGGAGATGAGGGTTGGCTGTTGAGAAAAGAAGGGATAGCAAGTTGCTAGTCAGGTATAGTTTTTTTTTGTTTTGTTTTCTCAACATGGAAAACTCCTCTTTTGACAGATTTGTCACTTATCATAGCTACAATTCTGCCCACAAACTAGTGAAATGAGCATTTATTTGCTTGTATGGTGACACTTTGGACTTAAGGAAAACTGGCAGTCTATTTATAACCAGAGGAGCTTCAAACTTGATAAAATATATATCCTATAGTCTTATGCCATTGGTCTTTGATAGAATTTTGTGGTTGTTAAAAGACTTTAAACCTCCTTTAAGCTGTAAACTATTTGATTTCATTTTATACAAAAATCACAAATCACTGTTTTATGTTTTTCAACTTAGTATTCTGAAATTTTTTCTCTTAGTGTTTCTTTTTTGTTACCTTTTCTCTCCAGCAGAGCCTTGAGAATTAGAGATGATTTCTCTTTCTTCAGTGTCCCTTCACATCACCTAGCACAGCACATGCAACTGTTACTTTAGTTCCAGAATAAATTCATACAAAACTTCTCTCCCTTTTTCACCGGCTTTAGGCATCATAGGCGAGTATTAGTGGAGTGGCTAAAAGATCCATCTCAGGAGCTTGAGTTTATTGCTGATATTCTTAATCAGGATGCAAAGAATTATCATGCCTGGCAGCATCGACAGTGGGTTATTCAGGTATTGTCTTTCTTATCACAATGTTTTCCAATTTTTTATTTTTTAACTGAATTGAATAATTAAAATTATTAAATTGTAAGTATACTTCTGAACTGAAACATACATGTAGTTTATGTATATACATATAAACACAATATGTATATCATTATTATTAAGTTAGTTATCTGACACTTTTCATGTTGGTTAACCTTTATAATTTCTTGATATATTCATGAGTAGCTTTATATTAAAGAAGAATAATAGTAACGATATTTAGGTTGAATATACATCACATCTTATATTTGCCAACAAATTGAATAGAAAAAGTAGTTCTAATTTTTTAATACAACTTCGTTTTTTTTGTGTGTGGTTTTTTTTTTTAATATATTTTATTGATTTTTTACAGAGAGGAAGGGAGAGAGATAGAGAGTTAGAAATATCGATCAGCTGCCTCCTGCACATCTCCTACTGGGGATGTGCCCGCAACCCAGGTACATGCCCTTGACCGGAATCGAACCTGGGACCTTTCGGTCCGCAGGCCGACGCTCTATCCACTGAGCCAAACCGGTTTCGGCACAACTTCGTTATTTTAATTAACAAGAGCATCATACACACTAAGGTTTTTGCATATATAAACTTAGGAATATGATTTTACAGTAACTATTATATATTTTATTGCCGCCCAATTGTTAACATTTTATGCTAAATCTTGAATAGAAGAGAATAGTTAGGAGTCCCACTCTGGGCATTTAATTTATTCTATCAAACAATTCTAGCATTGTTTTCTGTGAAATTTTCCCCAGTAATTACTACTTTCTGCGCTATTCATTATACCAAGATTATGTCATTAAATTATTTTTTATTTGAAATTTTAAACTTTTCTAAATTTGAATAAAGGGATACATTTTTTAAGGTATTCAGTATTTTTTTTATGAATTTCTACCTTTTTTTCGATTAAAACATAAGAAATATAATTCCACAAGCTTTTTCATAGTTAACGTCTCTGACTGTTTTAGCATTTATAAGTTTTGATCATTCTACTTTTTTTCCAAATTCTCTGTATGGGTTCTCTTCTCCATAATTTTTTTGTTTGTTTCATATTATAATTTTTTATTTCTTGATTTTAAAGAGAGAGAGGAGGTGGGGAGAGAAACATCCATTTGTTGTTCCACTTATTTATACATTTCATCGGTTGGTTCTTATGTGCAAGACTGGAAACGAACCCACAACCTTGGCGTATCAGCATGACACTCTAACCAACTGAGCTACTTGGCAAGGGCCTTTCTCCTTAATTTAAAAAATTAAAACAACTTTGCCCTGGCCGGGTGGCTCAGTTGGTTGGAGTGTTGTTCTGTACACCAAAACAGGTTGGATTCCTGGCAGGGCACATACGTAGGTTATAGGTTCCATCCCCAGTCAGGGCGTGTATCAGAGGCAACTAATCAATGTTTCTCTCTCTCTCTCTCTCCCTCTCCTCCCCCCCCTCTCTCTCCCCCCTTCCTCTCTCTCTAAAAAGCAATAAAAACATATCCTTAGGTGAGGACTTTAAAAAATATATTAAAAAACAGCTTTATAATGTGAAAACTTTGTCTAAACCTAATTGTGGGTCTTTCTCTACATCTATTTTAATGTAATTTTGTCATATGTGTGCATTTTGAATATTTTGTTTTATTTAATGTATTAATATCAGATTAATCACATCAAATTAATATGTTGTAGTTAACCATTTTCTTACTAAGTTTGGTGCGGTTTATTTTCCTCTAAAATTTCACCATAAACAATGCATAAGATTTTAGTTAAATATACTTCTTTTGCTTTTGATTTAGTCCTTTAGAATAATTCTGGGCTCAAATAGCATAAACGTGCATCATGTTACCTGGATTGTTCTCAAGAAGATGGTACTGAATTACAGGCTGCTTTGGCTGCTCTCTCTTCCTGATATTTTCATCCCTCATAACCAATCCCTTGTCTTTGATTACTTTTCTTTCCCACTGCATTTGCTTGACCTGCAACTGTCATTCTCCTCCAACTGTGTGCTGAGTCCCACATCTTCAGTTAGACCTACTTATCTTTGCTGAAATTTGATTAATTTTTATTGTTTATAAATAATGGGACATTTCTAATTGAATGTTTTATTATTTATTTTCTTTTAGGAATTTAAACTTTGGGATAATGAGCTGCAGTATGTAGACCAACTTCTTAAAGAGGATGTGAGAAATAACTCTGTCTGGAACCAAAGATACTTCGTAATTTCTAACACCACTGGCTACAATGATCGGGCTGTATTGGAAAGAGAAGTCCAGTTAGTAATCTCCTTCACTTGTTCACTCAGTAAAAGAATATTTGTGTGCCTACCATATGTCAGGTATTGGGGAGACAGCAAAGATCAGGACTGTCCCACTTTTACCCTCATGGAACTAATAGGACAGAATACTTAGATGAAATTGATAATGATAAATTTACAAGTATATAGTATACCTCTGCTTTGTAATGTCTTAACTTTCTTGAAATACTGTTGTTACTGTAGATTGAGAAGAAATCAGATTTCATAGTGTCTAGGAAGCTTTGTTTAAAACTATCGTATTAAATTCTTTTGTATGTTAGATAATAGTCCCCTGATGCCATGTTATTCTAGTGCAGGGTTTTTTGTTGTTTGTTTTTTTTTAAATGTATTTTTTATTGATTTTTTAGAGAGAGGAAAGGAGAGGGATAGAGAGTTGGAAACATCGATCAGCTGCCTCCTGCACACTCCCCACTGGGGATGTGCCCGCAACCAAGGTACATGCCCTTGACCGGAATCGAACCTGGAACCCTTGAGTCCGCAGGCTGATCCCCTATCCCAGCCGTGGGCAAACTACGGCCCGGGGGCCGGATCCGGCCCGTTTGAAATGAATATAACTAAAAAAAAAAAAAGACCATACCCTTTTATGTAATGATGTTTACTTTGAATTTATATTAGTTCACACAAACACTCCATCCATGCTTTTGTTCCGGCCCTCCGGTCCAGTTTAAGAACCCATTGTGGCCCTCGAGTCAAAAAGTTTGCCCACCCCTGCTCTATCCACTGAGCCAAACCGGTTAGGGCTCTAGTGCAGGGTTTTGAGCCAGATAAATCTTTGCTGTAGGGGCTGTCCTGTGCATTGTAGTATGTGGAGCATACCTGGCCTGTATACCCTATACTACAGTCCTCGACTTATGATGGCTCAATTTATGATTTTTTAACTTTAAGATGTTGTGAAAGGGGTGGGGGTTGAGGGTGGGCTAGAAGTGATCAGTAGAGGAAAAAGAGGAACATATGTAGTACTCTCAACAATAAAGATTTTTTTAAATAAAAGATGTTGTAAGCAGTACAATTCAGTAGAAACCAGCTAGACTAAGCTATGGTGTTCTGTATGTTGGGTATATTAAATGCATTTTTGAGTTAAAATATTTTCAATTATAATGGGTTTATCGGGACATAACCCTGTCATAAGTCGAGGGGCGTCTGTAGATCAGTAGTAACCCTCCCTCCCCAGTTGTGACAAACAGAAATGTCCCCCGACATTGCCAGATGTCCCCTCGGGAGCACAGTTGTCTGCAGTTGAAAATTACTAGTCTAGCAAGCATAAGGCTGTTATAAGAGCCAGAAATTTCTGAATTGGCATGAATATGTCTGTATATCCATAAACAATAGGCACCTCTTTTCTGACTTTTGTCTATTTTGTCTCAGTAGTCTGATTTAAATTTAAACATGTTTGTTTTTATAGTCTCATGAGACCATAATCATAATTTTAATTGTGAAAGTTAATTAACAGCTTCTGTTTTTTTTTCCTTTTATAGTTGGTATTCCGTTGTGAGGATTAGGAAAAGGATGCTCTGAAGGAAAGCAAAGCATCATCCTTCAGAAAGTTCGATAGCTTCCTTGCCAAAGTTATTCTACCTTGAAATAATCCAATTAATAATTAGGGAGTTTCAAAATAGTATATGTTTCTTATTTACTGTAGCCTACTACATTAGGTTAGACATAATAAGATATTTAAAAAATTGAATATAAAGAGTTTGGAAAATGCAGACTTCTCTCATAGCCTTTAAAGGAAGATCACTAGCTTTCTAGTACCAAATAGAAATAAAAATAATCAGCCAAGAATCTAAGAGTTTTCCATTCTTAAAGTTTATTATACCCTATAGATAGGTAAAAGAAATATTTAAGATGCTAAGAGTAGCAGTAGTTTTCTATAATTTAGTTAATTAAATTTAACTCTAAGAATACAGGTGTAGCTGATTATTTTCTGTAGTTTTTCCCTTTTATAAAAGCAGTGCAGTTTACTTGTGGGGAATTATACTGAATTGTATAAAATTAAACATCAGAATCTCTTATTCTCCTTCCCATATCCCATTCTTGAAAAATTGTGGGGTGTTTCCCCCTCCCCATTAATTTGAGAGAGAGTAAGGGGGAGAGAGAAAAACATCAGTTTATTGTTCCACTTATCCATGCATTCATTGGTCGATTCTTGTATGTGCCCTGATGGGGGATCAAACCACAACCTTGGCATATTGAACAACACTCTAACCAACTGAGCTACCTGGCCAGGGCCCATATCCCATTCTAGAGGGAGCTACAAGTAGTGAATCCTTCCAAGCCTTATAAATACATTACAAACATGCACAGCAACCTGGGCAATCATATTATACACATTGCCTTTTTTCCCCCCCACTAAATACATCATGGTAATATTTCTATTTGAGTACATAACCTACTAGCACTATTGATAATAGTTACTATTTATCAAGCATTTACTAAGATTATATAGTTCTCCTTTTTCAACAATTAAGGATTTGACAGCCATAAGTAGATCTTAGACTTTTCCCCCAAGATTGCTTTACAAGTAAAAGGTAAATCTTGTTTTAGCTGACATTTTCCTTCAGAGGGAAAGCCTAAATTAAAGGAAATCTCCTTTAATTTCTTTTCTGTTGTGAATTGAGCCTTCATATTGAGTGTCCTTCTCCAGAATTGGATACAAATATTCAATAGGGAAGAACTATGTCAAAAAGAATTGACAGTTGGAGACTGGAGAGACTTAAATATGACCTAGAGAGGTACCGAAGTCCACTCAGAGAGAAATGAAAGCACATATCTAAGCTATGCTACCGTCTTACTAAAACTGTTTCTAATGATTGCACTGCTCTTAAAATTATACACATATTGTGCTCTTTTTCTTATAGGTACACTCTGGAAATGATCAAGCTAGTACCACATAATGAAAGTGCATGGAACTACTTGAAAGGGTAAGAGGATGTTTTTTGCTTGTTTTATATAAAATACAACCTGTTAATATGATGCATTATGAACTATGTTCCATAATCAGATTCCAAAATGATACTAAAAATTTTTCTGTTTTTCTCTGAGAGCAGAAGTGTATTATGACAACACCCAAGAACAGTGTCCTCTACCCTTCCCTCCACCTCCCAAGCACATATACCAGCCCAGTTTTTAGAGTAGTCCATGAGTGAACAATAATAAATTATAACTGAAGTTATGAATCCTATAGTCTTTATGTCAAAGAATGGAATACAGCTTGCTATAGCAACAAAATCTAACCTATTCCGGTGCTCTTCTCTCTGAGACAAGTCGTTATATAGACTCAGGCAGTGGAAAAAAAAAGATTGGAATACACACCCTCAGTGTATGTGCAGCTCAGGAACACAGCAAAGCAAGGCCAACTATTTACAATCAGACTGCACAAATGCAGGCAGCCTCTCTGATTCACTTCTAGAGATCTCCTGTTCAAGTCTCACTTGTTAAACTGACAAGGTTTCCCTTGCCTGGCCACTGACACACCCAGGCTCCCTGTCGCACTTAGAGGTCTCCAAGAGCCAAAGTACGTGGCCCGGTCACATTGGGAGGTGTGTGCAGGGTAGGGGCCTGTGATATCTGGAGAGCTGAAAGGATAAGTTAAAACTCTCCTGTGTTTTCCTTCACTTTTTAATTTTAAGAAGATTTGTTTTCTGCTTTAATTTTGTGTGAATTTCATTTAGTTTCAACTTCATTCAAAATGTCTCCTTTTCTTGCTTATGTCACAGGGGCTATTGATCTTTCTACTATTTTTGCTCTTCTCAAAAATTAGAATAATTTCTTTTTTTAGGATTTTGCAGGATCGTGGTCTTTCCAAATATCCCAATCTATTAAATCAATTGCTTGATTTGCAACCAAGTCATAGTTCCCCCTACCTAATTGCCTTTCTTGTGGACATCTATGAAGATATGCTAGAAAACCAATGTGACAACAAGGAGGACATTCTTAATAAAGCATTAGAGGTAAGCTCGTGGAACTCATCACTTCCTTTTTGCTATCTCAGAATTGGGTCTTTCCAGTGCCACTAATATTCATGTCCCTTTCAGCAGTTACTGAGAATTCAATGCAGGACTATTTCTGTTGTTTAGAGCAATACCCACGTCACTAGTGAACATAGTACGCAACTCTGGTGGTGTATCTCATTTGAACATGACTGAGTTAAACTGTATTAGCTCAAAAGCATCTGCCCTAAAGATTTAATTACACATTTTCTTTAATGAATTGTTTGTTTTTCATTTTTAGTTATGTGAAATCCTAGCTAAAGAAAAGGACACTATAAGAAAGGAGTATTGGAGATATATTGGAAGATCTCTTCAAAGCAAACACAGCACAGAAAGTGACCCACCAACAAATGTACAGCAATAACACCATCTAGAAGAACTTGATAGACTGCTTTTATTTTTTTAAGAGACTCTAATGCAGGAGTTTAAAACTACCCTGTGCCTGTGGTGTAAAACATGCATTGCACAGATACTGCTTTTTAACAAGAACTAAGTACGATGTTCCTTGGGTGCTGCTGCCATGCAGACTAGCTCTAAGTAATTCGATTATTTTATAGCAAAGTAATTGGGGGGAGGGAGAAGGGAAAAAGTCCCATATAGGAACTTTTGTAGTCTTATCAACATTTACTTTAACCCCTTAGCATCAACTCCTCCCTGAATGGTATATGCATCAGGATTTGCAGCATAAATGATTACAGATAACTTATATGTAATGGATATGAGGTAGCTTGAATTTTGGTTTAGGAAGCAAGGAATGCAATTGTTACTCAGAGCTGCTATGCCACACTCACAATATCTTGCTATTACTGTAACCAACTAATGCCAAAAGAATGGTTTTGTAATAAAATTATAGATGTATTCTAAAACAACGCCATAGTAGTTTGACTTTTTTCTTTTCTTTTTTTAACTTTATTTTTATTGTTGACACTATTACAGATGTCCCCATTTTGTCCCCCATCACCCATCTCCACCCAGCCCCCGCCCCCTTCCCTCTGGCCATCACCACACTGTTTGTGTCTATGGGTTAGACATATACATTCTTTAGCTAATCCTTTCACCTTCTTTCATCCAATCCCCCTCCCCTGACAGCGGTCAGAATGTTCCATGTATCCATGCCTCTGTTTCTGTTTTGTTCATCAGTTTATTTTGTTCATTAGATTCCACATATAAGTGAGATCATACGGTATTTTTCTTTCTCTGACTGGCTTATTTCACTTAGCATAATAATCTCTAGGTCCATCCATGCTGTTACAAAAGGTAAGAGTTCCTTTTTTTACGGCCGCGTAGTATTCCAATGTGTAAGTGTACCACAGTTTTTTTTTTAATCCACTCATCTACTGATGTGCACTTGGGCTCTTTCCAGATCTTGGCTATTGTAAATAATGCTGCTATGAACATAGGGGTGTATATATTCTTTCAACCCAGTGTTTTGAGATTTTTAGGATATATTCCCAGAAATAGTTTCATTCTTTAAAATGGCATTTAACTAGCCCTAACCGGTTTGGCTCAGTGGATAAAGCGTCAGCCTGCGGACTCAAGGGTCCCAGGTTCGATTCCGGTCAAGGGCATGTACCTTGGTTGTGGGCACATCCCCAGTAGGGAGTGTGCAGGAGGCAGCTGATCGATGTTTCTCTCTCATCGATGTTTCTAACTCTCTATCCCTCTCCCTTCCTCTCTGTAAAAAAATCAATAAAATATATATTTTTTAAAAATAGCATTTAACTATATATAAGGAACATTTTCCCAGCTTAGAAAAGCAATTGAGGGAGAAAATCTATATATATAAAAGCGTAATATGGAAATCTACCTGACAGTGAAATGACCGTTTGCTATGATGCACACTGACCACCAGAGGACAGACGCTCAACGCAGGAGCTGCCCCCAGCCCTCCCCCCAGCCCCCCATCGGGGCCTGCTGGCCAACCTCTTGGTTCCATCCCCTGGCCAGCAGGCTCCATTCACCTGATGGGGAACGGGGAACCAGGGGGTGGGTGGCGGCGGATGTGGGTGGTGCCAGGCCAAGGTGGGTGCGAGCGAGCAGGGCCCCAATTGCTCCGCTGGTTGCCCCACACACAGGGCGACCAGCGGCAGGGTGTGGGGCTGGTGAGCAGGCGGAAATAGCCAACTTCTCGGTTCTTCCCCCTGGCCGCCCGATGGGGAATGGGGAACCAGGGGTGGGTGGCCGTGGACGCTGGTGGCTGCCGGCAGCCAGGGAATATGGGCCCTGATCGCAGGCCAGGCCTAGGGACCCTACTCATGCGCCAGTCCTCTACTATTGACATAAAACCGTAGAAACCAGAAAAATGGTTATACTTTAGCAACTGTTATTAAAGTTTGAATTGGTCAGTTCTTGACTACATGTAACAAAATTGACTAAAGCTAGTTTAAATCCAAAGGTTTTATTAAGGTATATAGGTAGCTCACAGAATAACTGCCTGATCTTCCCAGAAATATATCGCAAAGCCACACTACAGAACTGGACCATCAAGGTTTTTTTTGCCTGTGCCTGGGATCAGGAACCTGCTGAATGATCCTGTCCACCTCTGCCACATTTCATGTGAGCACATCTGCTTCCCTTCCCATGTAATGCAGCTCCAAAGTAAAGGCTCACTTTAGTGCATCTAGGATGTTATTTAGGAAAGAACTTAAATGACATCAAAAACTCTTAACTGAAAAGGAATCTGGGAAATGTAGTTCATAGCTTTCCAGCATATGCAAGTCAGGAAGACACACTAGGAAGACGTTGGAGTGGTAAGCTAGTTCTCTACCTGCACATATTTACACCTTTATCAATAAAGAATTTTCAATGTTCAAGGCAGTAAACTACAACTAAGGAAATTGTAAAGAGTAGAAAAATTATCTCTTCTCAAGAATTCAGAAAGACAATATTTTAATACTTTCTGGAGAAAACATATTTATGGCATTTTATTTTTAACTAGAGGCCCGATGCATAAAATTCATGCAAGAGTAGGCCTTCCGTCCCCCTGCTGCTGGCACCGGCTTCCCTCTGGCAACCAGGACCCAGGCTTTCCTCGCAGCCCTGGCTTCGTCTGAAGGTCGTCTGGAAGGACATCTGGACTAATTAGCATATCATGCTTTTATTATAGATATTTTCCATGTTAGTTTTTGTTGTTTTTAGAATCCATAATCTCTGATTTTTATTAAAATTTTCATAAAGTATCATCCTATGTAGATAATTTCATAAGTTTCATCAGATACAAAAACTATGAGAAGTTTTCATAAGATAACATTTACTCTCAGAAACTATCAAATTAATGTCCCCAAATTGATTGGACTCAAAGCTCATAGAGACTGTTTAATAAAAAGCCTAACAGCAGTTTACCAGTTTACATTGAGAACTGTAACAGAAGCAGACCAAACAGTTACATCAGCCTAACCCAGTGGTTCTCAACCTTCCTAATGCCGCGACCCTTTAATACAGTTCCTCATGTTGTGGTGACCCTCAACCATAAAATTATTTTCGTTGCTACTTCATAACTGTAATTTTGCTACTATTATGAATCGTAATGTAAATATCTGATATGCAGGATGTATTTTCATTGTTACAAATTGAACATAAAGCATAGTGATTAATCACAAAAACAATATGTAATTATATATGTGTTTTCCGATGGTCTTAGGCGACCCCTGTGAAAGGGTTGTTCGACCCCCAAAGGGGTCGTGACCCACAGGTTGAGAACCGCTGGCCTAACCACTTCACATTTTCTGTCTGAAGTTTAACAAGGTGACAATTTATCAAAAAGATACTTTGTGAGCATGGAGTCAGGCAAGTAGCCTCCATGATTTAAATGTATAATGATTTTAGGCGTTGATACTCCTAATGAGGTCCATCTCCTAATGGGCAATTTTCAACAAATGTGGCCTCTTTTCATGGGATGCCATTTTTACTTGAAAGATAACTGAAAACTGGTTATTCATACTTTGGATGGCTGGCATACATTTTTCTCAAAAAGTAATGAAGTGAGTTTGTTGTTACTTCAAAGAAAAACAACTGAGAGTTTTGCCAGTGAGAAAATTTGAGCTTTCAAGTGAAAATAATCTACCACAGTGAGCTTGACAGCTTCTTATACCTATAGACCTTTCTAATGAAATCAAAGTGATATTATTAATGATTGCCATTTTTAAATACTGTATAGTTAATTATGTCAACAATTGGGAGACCTACATAACCCAACAAACCAATATATTCCAAATGAGCCACCAATAATGTTATCATGAACAAACTTAGATTGAAACTCCATCAGACAATTTTACACTTTTTGCATTCAAGCACCAAACATTTTTTAAAGAACTCAAGATAGTCTTTTATATGTACCCAGATACTTTCCATTTCTGCTACTCTTCTTTCATTCCTGATGTCCCGAGTTTCTTTCCAGTGTCATTTTTCTTTTATCTGAAGAAATTTCTTCCAGCAGTTCTTTTGAAGTATGTCCACTGGTTGCAAATTTTCTTAGTTTTTTCTTCACCTGAGAAGGGCTTTATTTCACCATTCCTGAAGGATATTTTCACGGGACATAGAATTCTGGGTTAACAGTTCTTTTCTTGAAAAATCTTTTGTCACTTCCTCCAGCCTTCAGTGGTTTCCAATGAAAAGTCTACTGTCATTGGAATGTTCACTGATTGGTTAGGCATCATTTTTCTCTGGCTGCTTTCAAACTTTTAATTTGTCTTCAGTTTTCAACTTGATTTTGATGTGTCTGGGCATGGGTATCTTTGGATTTATCCTGTTTGCTTAGCTTCTTGAATCTGTAGAGATGTTTTCATCAAACTTGGGACATTTTCAGCCATTATTTGATCAAATATATATATTTACTTTCTCCTGTGGGACTCCGATGACAGAATGTTAGACTTTTTATTCTTGTCCCAAAGGGGATGGAGGTTTTGTTCTTTTTAAAAAACATTTTTTATTGATTGATTTTAGAGAGAGAGAGGAGAGAGAAAGAAACAAACATCAATTTGTTCCACTTACTTATGAATTCATTGGTTGCTTGTTGCTTCTTGTATGTGCCCTGACCAGGGATTGAACACATAACCTTGGTGTATCAGGACAATGTTCTAACCAACTGAGCTACTAGGCCAGGGCTTGTTCACCCTCCCGCCCTCCCCCCATTACCACCTCTGTATCTTTTTCTCTCTGTTAGACAGATTGGCTCATTTCTATTATCTGTCTTCAAGTTCTCTGACTCTGTCCTTTGTTACCTCTATTCTGCTATTGGATCTATCAAGTGAGTTTTTGGTTTTTATATTTTTCAGTTTTAAAATGTTTGATTCTTCTTAATATCTGATGTTTCTTTACTGATACTTTCTATGTTAATTTTTGTTTTGAGCACGTTTAACTTCTATTTTAATTGTTTTGAGCATTTTTTATAATAACTTTTAATATCCTCGTCAGATAATCCCAACATCTGGGTCCTCTTGTCATTGATGACTGTCTTTTCCTATGCAAGTTGAGATTTGGGGGATACTCATATGCCTAGTAATTTGGGGTTGTATCCTGGGAATTTAGAATATGAGATTCTGAGTCTTGTTTAAATCTTATGGAGAATATCAATATTTTTATTTTAACAAGTGTTTGCCATATCTAGGTGTAGGCTGCAAGTTCCAAACCCCCTCCTGTGCTATGTTCCAAGTCAGTACAGTTGTCAGCTTCTTGTAGTGCTTTTTGGATTTGTCTCATGTGCATCACCCACTAGTTAGTCTGGGCCTGAGCAGAAGTCTATCCGTCAGCACTGTTCCAAAAGCCAGTGGTATGCCCATTAGCATCAGATAATGATGGTCAGGGGTGAGCCCAAGAGTTCATCAACAACTTTATGGTGTTGCTTTCCTGGTCCCCTCCCTTTCCACTTTCT